TATCTACGGTTACTGGCTATTTATCTCTTCCCTCACTGTAATCCATCAGGTTATAGCGTTCCTGTACACGGCAATGAGATGTATTGATTTAGGGTTGAAAACTGCTCTTATTGTGACTCCTGTAAATGTGTTGCACATTTGGCGAAGTGAGTTTATGAAGTGGAGGCCTTCAGAAGTGAAACCACTTCGCATTTTCATGCTTGAACAAGGTATAGATTCTTCTATGAAAGAAGCTTTTGGTTGCGGATTTTCCATGCTTCCAAACTTAATGTTTGTTGTGATAGATCATACGAGAATGAAAGGCTTGTATGTGTAGTACTTTGCGATTCAGGAGATTAGATGTATGTGTTCGTATGTTGTTCTGGGTCTTAAGAGATTAAAAATGAGGGTTGGGTAGTCTAAACCTGTGTGCTCGTAATACTGCTGAACATTAATTTTACGAAAGCTATAAGACCGTGTCCCTAACAAAAGAATATTGATGCAATCCCTCTCGTCCAACTACACAGGATCTCAGCTGTCTTAACTTCCCACTAATCTGCCAAAATGGTCCTTATATCTAATACTTCGATTTTGGCACTTATTTTGGCCTATTTAAGGTGTATTTTTGGTGACAGTTTGTCAGCTCACTTCCTGCGCTAATGTCTTTTTTTNAAGGGAGAGGAGATTGGACTTGCTAANGAAGTGGCGAAATAAGGGTGGAGTCTTCTTGATGGGGTATGCCGCTTTTAGAAATCTGTTTCTTGGGAGGGGGGGTAACGCCTTGAGGGTGAGACTGTAATTTCTCTGGTAGAATTGATTGATTTCTATCTTTTAAAGAAGGTTGATCTTTCTTGTTTAGGTCCTTCTGTGAATTCTGATGCCTATTTTAATGCATTTCTGTGTCATAGAGTATTCTTCTGTTTTTATGTTCTCTTGTTTATGATTTTCCTTGTACATTCTTTTTTTTTTTCCATGTTCCAATGCTTGCGGTGTTTTATTCTTGCAATCCCCTTTACCTATGTGGCTGCAGGAGGGACCTGATATACTGGTTTGCGACGAGGCTCACATTATCAAGAACACCAGGGCTGACACAACGCAAGCATTGACACAAGTTAAATGCCAGCGAAGAATTGCCTTAACCGGGTCGCCCCTTCAAAACAATCTCCTGGAATATTATTGTGTAAGTTACTGAAGGAACCATAGAAACTTTTGAACTAATTTTTTCTCATTCCCAGTTTCATAAGTTATCTTTACTGTAACAGATGGTTGATTTTGTAAGAGAAGGATTCCTCGGGAGTAGCCCTGAGTTTAGAAATCGGTAAGTCTTTCATACAAGTGTTTTTTTCCGCTGCCTGTGATGATGTTATTTTTCTAGAGTTTTAATCGTGCTTCCCCATATCTGCAGCTTCCAAAATCCAATAGAAAACGGACAGCATATGAATTCAACTGCGGAGGACGTGAAAATTATGAACCAGAGATCACACATCCTGTATGAGCAACTGAAAGGATTTGTACAAAGAATGGACAAGAATGTTGTGAAAAAGGATCTACCACCTAAAACTGTCTTCGTAATATCTGTCAAGCTATCACCCTTGCAGCAGAAATTGTATAAGAGATTTCTTAAGCTGTATGGGTTCAGCGTTGGAAGAACAGATGAAAGGATGAGAAAAAACTTTTTTGCTGCTTACCAGGTCTTGGCTCAGGTATAAATGTGATGAATGTCTTGCTAGTGCTTAAATTAATAACTGATATGGGAAGAAAAAAATGAATAACTGATAAGCCCATCTAGAGAATTTATTTTGTTCCCGTTTGTTCGTATTCTGAATCCTCACTGTCTGTTTCGTCTCCCAGATTTTGAATCATCCAGGGATTCCGCAATTAAGAAGAGAAGATAGCAAAAACGGTCGTCGTGGTAGCATTGTTGATATTCCAGATGACTGTTCATGTGATGAAAATATAGACTCCAACATGGTTGTGGGAGGTAACTGTTAATTGTCACTGCTTGCTTTTTTATGTTTGTTTAAACTAAGTTTGAACGACAAAAAAAAAAACTAAAGAAAATATTGGACTTCTATCATGGGTAAAATGGAATTTTGTTTTCTGGTGGAGTAGGAATTAAACCTTTTGTACCGTTTTAGTCTGAATAAGCTTCCAAAGATATAGTGGACTTCTGTCGTGTATGTTTTTAAGCTTCATCATATTCTACTGAGCTCTCAGGAGTGATCTTTGTTTACATCTATGACAAATTCAATAATTGTAAAAATATTATTAACAAAACCGTGTCATCATTGTTTTGGATATTGACAGAGAAACAGAGAACTATGAGTGATTTGCAGGATAAGGTTGATGGCTACCTCCAGAAGGTAACTATAATCTACTCAGTCTGACTGAATTAGTAACTGCTGCCCACAACTTTAAACGAAACAGCGTAATAATGCAATCTTGTTTGATTCTAACCTTGTCAATGTGCCAGGATTGGTGGGTCGACCTACTTCAGAAAAATAATTACAAGGTGTCGGAATATAGTGGTAAAATGATTTTGCTGTTGGATATTTTATCCATGTGTGCTGATGTGGGTGATAAGGCGNTCGTGTTTAGCCAGAGTATCCCGACATTGGATCTCATAGAACTTTATCTATCGAGNCTACCTCGTCATGGTAAACAAGGAAAGTTCTGGAAAAAGGGAAANGACTGGTATAGGTTGGTATCTTGTTCTTTNNTATTANCATGAATGTTGTNTGAACAATTATGAAGGCTCTAACTTCCCTTTGNATGGATGCAGAATTGANGGAAAAACNGAAAGCTCAGAACGCCAGAAGTTGGTTGATNAGTTCAATGAGCCTGAAAACAAAAGGGTGAAATGCACTCTAATCTCAACCAGNGCAGGATCCCTTGGAATAAACCTTTATGCTGCTAACCGTGTGATCATCGTTGATGGTTCATGGAATCCAACCTATGATCTTCAAGCTATATTTCGAGCCTGGAGGTATTTCTTTGGCTACTGATGGAATAAAATTTTGTCAAGATAGCGTTAAGAAATGTGACTTAAAATTATGTGGAATTATTGTTTGCAGGCATGGCCAAAAGAAGCCAGTATTTGCGTACAGGCTGATGGCACGTCGGACTATTGAAGAGAAAATATATAAACGGCAGGTATTGAAAGAAGAGATGTTATGAATCAGATATGTGAATATGATTAGGTGACCAAGGAGGGACTCGCTGCGAGAGTGGTGGATAGACAACAAGTGCACAAGACTATCTCCAAAGAAGAGATGTTACATCTTTTTGAATTAGACGACGATGATGATGAAAAGTCCGATGCTGATATAAGCAAGCAAATCGATGCAAGAAATAACCAAAACACTAGATTACGGATGGAGAATTCACAGAAACAGAAGGCCAGTGTATATTCTTCACAGAAACAGAAGGCCAGTGTATCTCGCGTTGGTTGCTACTCTGACAAATTGATGGAGAACTTACTACAGAGACACAGCCCCAGGTGAGTTTGCAAGTGAACCATATTCACAGTCAGTACTTACATTCTTCAGTATACTAAGCTACTTCCTTTTTTGACTCACTCTCTGTGTTTTCTTTTACTAGCTGGATTTCCAGTTTCCATGAGCACGAGACATTGCTACAAGAGAACGAAGAAGAAAGACTGACGGAGGAAGAAAAAGACATGGCCTGGGAAGTTTACAGAAGAGCGCTTGAGTGGGAAGAAGTTCAGCGAGTCCCACTCAACGAATCTCCAGTGCTCCGAAAACCTCCCCCTTCTGTACAAACAGAAGCCGTACGCCAGCTAAAGGGGGTTCAACAAAAGTCGGTTTGTGATCCGGAACTGCACAAGAATCGCGCATCAGCTTACACTCATAAGCCAAGGAAGAAAAGTCGGTAGCAGCACGGTCTGTGGGGAGTGTGGGAAGACGTTGTACCTGCATCCAAATTTTCAGAGGTAAACTAAATAAAGCAAAAATAGTTTAATTTATTTTTGCTTTCTTTTATGTATCCGTCTGATATTCAAAATTAAAAGGGAATCGTACCATTTGAAATTCTTTTTTAGATTATAGATGATTTAGATTACAGTTCAATTGCCGATATCAAATCAGGGCGTTTGTTAGGGTCGATTTCTAATGATGTTAAAACTTGTAAATCCAAAGCGATTAATGATTTGTAAGAGTAATCACTTTGCTGAAATGTTATTGAATCATTGGTGGTCATATGAGCGCTTTTCAGTGCAAGGTTTTGTTTGTCCAACTTGAATATCCGAGTCACTATGTTTCGGCATCTTTGTTCAATTTTGAGTATACGAATAGTTTAACTTAAAATTCGAATTTCAGTCTGACAAAATGTGATAGATGTGACAAAACACTGAAACCTACTTGAGAGCAATTAGAGGTAACTGGTTATCTAATTCAACCATTGCCGACTTACAAAACTGGTTTTCTGTACAAAAGCCAAAAAGAACAAACAAAAGAAAGGTTTCGATTACGTTTCCTACATCTCTCTTCTTATGAGTTTCCATTCCTTCAGCTTCCTCTGCAACTAATCAGCCTCACTTCCCATTCACATCTCTTCAACGCCTTTAATTATTGCGGTAAGTATTGTCTCATCTGGCTTACGTCCACTTGTTAGCACTATCTCGACAACCTGTATCGCCATTTCCATCTCTTTGTTCTTGCACAGCCCTTGGATTACCAACCTGTAAGTGCTAGCTCTGATCCCATTCCCTCTATTGCTCGTCTCCTTTAAAACTTGACTCGCTTCTTCAACCAGGTTTGCCCGGCAGAAGCCATAAATTAATGGCTTTGCACAAACCATTAATCAGGATGTTGTAAGTAATAACCGTTGGACAGTAGGATGTTTGGTACATGATGGTTAGAATCTCATCCACTTCATTCCAGTACCCGTGGGAACAAAGGGAATGTAGAAGAGTGTTGTAAGGGAATGACCAAAGCCACCTCTTCTAAATTCCCTCGCCTGCAGTTGTAGTTTACAAGAGAATTATATGTAACAATATCAGGATGACAACCTTCCACCGCCATGTCTTCTAAAACTTCCATCGCTTGAGTGCTTCCACAGTATCTGCACACGAGTTCGACCAAAACTGTGTAGGTAATCCTATACGGAGGGCAACCATTCCGCAGTTGATCCTTCCAAAACTCAATTGCTTGCTCTGGATTCCCATCATCGAACATACAGCGAATAATTCCTCGGTTTCACTTTAACTCTGAAGTTATTACCGACACCGAAGTGATGCAATTCTGAGCTTCTCTCAGCATGATCATCAACATCATCTACATGGTCAATACACACACTATTCTGCAAACCATGGCATCTCATAAATCGGCCCAATCCCATTCTTCCAATCTAAACAAGATAAAAGGGTTCACCAAACGGACTCCATAACAGAGATTCGCATGCTTTGGAGACAAATTTGGAATATGAAAAAAGTGAGTCTCAAGTAGCAAATTTGATGAAGCCATCTCTCAGAATCCACAAAGTTCTTTCCTTTATAGAGAGCTTATTAACCTCAATGATGGAGAAATCGAACCTGTGAAAATCAAAAGCCAAAGGTACATGTTTCAGAGACAGAGAATAACACAGAGACAGATTCGAACAAAAAGAAGCAGAATTTCCTTAGAATACGGCTAACTTAGAATCACAAACTAGTAAATAAGTCTAACTAACTTCTTTTTGTTTCTAATAAAAGAATAAAGAAGACATTTTACACAACACTAGCATAAACCAGTAGGTTACAAAATACTCGTTTGATCGTTCACGCAACAACAACACTAGGACAAACCAATATACAACGAAATAATCGTTTCGGGACATTCTCGTTTGATCCCAAGTCTTCTTATTCGTTTCGGGCTCGTCGGTTTTCAGGTTTCGGGCACGTATCAATTATTACAATCGGGGTGTGTGATAAGGGGCAGAATCGAGATTTAGCAAAGGCGAGAGATCCGACGGCTGAAAAAGAGTTAGATTATTGGACAAGATCTCAACCCTTAAATAAGAGCCTCCCCTTTAAAAAGACGGATCTTTTTCTCAACAAATATCCAGCCGCAGATCTAAAACAAACCCTAATTTGAAAATTTTCTTTTCTTGTCCAAATCTCCAGTTTTCTCCATCACCATGGCAGAAAACTTCCAAGCAAAACTGTACCTTGATGAAGACACAAAAAATCTACCATATGATATGAGAGCTGATCGATTTGTGCAACGGATAAACCGCATTCTTCAACCGTTTGATCCAGAGTTGAAGCTGGTAAGTGCAACCGCCTACGGGGCATTTACAACTCATGAGCTGATTCCAGATCAGGAGAAAGTCACCCTCGAGTCCACCTACACCCATCCTGACGTTGCGTTCTCCTTCAACTATCTTCCCGCTCGACCTCCTATGTGTAAAGACTGTAAAGATGATGCTACAGGTAATATTTTCACTCTTTCAAGTTAG